ATGTTAAGTGCATATATATTCCCTTTTTTCTTGAGTCTGTTTGCTCATGCAAAATTAAATGTGATTAATATAGATTAAAAATGAATGATATTTAATTATGATTAATCAAAATTAATCCACAGGAACCCTGTGATTAATCTGATTAAAAATTTTAATATATAATAATTTATATATATATATAAATTAATTCCCTTATCCCTAAAATTATCTACATCAGAAGCATTGGGGTAGTTTGCAAACCCTACAGACTATTTAGAAGAAAATAAAACTGTTAGCGCTTTTCAAACATTTAGCCTGCTAGATATCTGACCGTCGTTTCCGTCAGGTCGCGTCTTTGAATAGTTCACACATAGCAATTGAGCGCGGAACACCAATTTGCCTCTGATATGACGGATTTGTCAGCGATCTTCAAAAACTGTCGGCAAGCGGAAAATCGAGGTTAAAATCGTGTAGTGTGAAGCTGGCATTTGCGTAGACATGCACGAAGTGGGGGAAAAAATATCCAATGAGAAAGATGCATCGAGACAGTGAGAATTTGTACGTGCACTTGCAGATTTATGCATGTAAATGATTGGTTAAAAAGGATAAGAAACAATACTTTGAGATGGCTACTGTGATCTAGGTTGTCTGCCCAGAGCCAGCAATTTCGTCTAGCCTTTACTGATCAGCGCAAAACGAACAGTGATTTCGCTGTAATTTTTTCATTTACATTATCGTTATAGTTTAGTAATGAAATAAAAGGTCATCAATGAATACTTATCGAAATGTTCCTTGAGAAAACTAACACTGCCAGCACAAAAGCACAAGGGGGACACAGAGAAATCGCCCATTTTTTACAAAAAGAAACAAATTAACAATTAAAAAAAATCTCAGGCTAAAACATAAGAAATTTCTGACACCAAATAAGAAAAGATAAATAAGGTGAAGTCAGATGAATCAGAGGTTGCTAGTGGAGACATCCTGCGTGTTCCTGGATGGAGTTGCATCCTGACGACGGTTTCGTGAAGCAAAGGCATACAGGAATGGGTTTATGCAGCTATTAATGAAGCTGAGAGATCCTAGAATATTTTCACTGAAACTGCAAAACTTTTCCAGTTTGGCCGATGCAGCCGGGTGGGATGATTTTAGCAAGATAGAAAATATTCCTGTCACACTTACAACATGTACTGGAATCCAGAATATGAAGAAGGTTACCACAATGCTGATAACCAGTCTTTTCATCCTCTGGTTAATGAAGAAGGTTCTTTGCTTCACTTTTTTGTGAAGGCAGCAGTAAGATGTGACCATGAC